TACACACGACATAACCAAAGGAAATCTTAACTGCTCTTGAGTTTAGATCAAAGCATTGAGAAACCAAGAATATTCTTCATTCGGAGGAGCAGCGCATTTCTTCGATAAGGTAGAAGGCAAAGTAAATGACAAGCTAAGATTCACAGAGATTACTTGGATCTTGCACTTTGCTGAAGCTATTCTCGGGATATTCTGAAGCTTCTCGGCTAATTCAAACACACAAGGGTCAAATGACATATTGTAGTACACTATCAACTGTTCAAGACGCGGCATTTTGTCCAAGAAATGCTTGATCTGCTCGATTTCCATCCCTTCATCATCGACGTCTACAGTCATAAATATCTTTAGCACCTTCAAAGGAGAAGATGAAAGGTAAGAAGGATTCTTCGGATTTTTACAAAGGCACAAGTTCCCACATCCATTGTTACGTTTGTGGAGAAGACCCTGAAGAAGCATTAGAGAAAAGGTTTCAAACTTGGATTTGTTTCTTCTTTCATGTGACTGATAGACAAGAGAGGCTATAATGGGTTTCTTTACATACCTTGAAAACAAGGGTTTCTAGATTTGGACAATTCATGAGCAGACCAGGCAATGAATTCCATCCAATTTCTTCGTTACTCTCAATCGTTAACTGAATCAGGTTGTTGAATACCGGTGTTGCTTCACAACAGTGAGCAAGTACCTGAAACAAGAACAAAAAACCAAATCAAACTCACTAACTGAAGCCATTATACTAAAAAAGAACACAAGGATATTATAATTCCAATTTACTTAATCTAAGTATCCATAAAAAAGATAAGGATAAAGATGGAATTGATCATACAAACCTCAAGAGCTTTGGCAGATAAATAGAGGATTTGAACATTGCTTATTCCCATAAGAAAATCCGTCGCATTACCGACCATTTCATTCTCCAAATCATCACCTTCTGAGAAATAGCCACCTTCCGAGAAATAGTCATCCTCATCTGGAGAGTTTGCATCTCCACTCTGATCTTCTGTGAGTCGAAGACCGATATGAGCTTCAACAAGCGAACTGAATTTCACTTTCGGATACTTTTTCGCAATACTGTCAGAATACTCCAAGTATTCAAGGTTTGGAGTATCGAACGACACGCTCTTTGGATTTTCATAATCTTCCTCACAGAAAAACTTGAGTCTCTTGAGTGTTGCGACAGACACAGAGCAGAATTTCCAATTTTCCCACACGATATTCATCATAACTAATTCCTCGAGCACAGGACAGCCCAAAAGAAGCTTAGCAAAACCAACACCTTCCTCTTCAAACACTACTGCATCAAGATCAAGAGTCTTAAGCTTTGGAAGAAAAACATCTCCCACACCAATACTGACATTGAGATCATCTCCTGGTCCTAATTTCAGCTTAACCAGAGTCTTGCTCACAAAGATCTTGAAAGGTAAGCAATATTCTGAGAGGCTTAGTTCAAGATCTGACACACCTCGTCCCAATACATTCAATATCCAATCATCAACACGATCTGGATCAGGATAATCAATAGCACAGTTAAGAGAGAACCTGTTTAAAGTAACATTCCCTTGCAAAACCAAGACTCTATCCACAAAATCCATAAAACTTGTAGTAGCCTCATCGTCATCGTTTTCGTTTTCAAATTCAAGATTTGTTACAGAGGCAAACGAAAAACGCCACCTTTTAGACAGAACTGATGTGGAAGCTGCTTCTTTTGTCGGAAGGAAAGACAAGATGTGGGAAATCAGAGGATTTGGTAGACTGCTGATTATATCTCTTGAGACAGAACCCATCTCGAACAAAAGATCAACACTTTCAACCTAAACAAGTAGAACAAGAATAGAATTTTCAGAAACGGAACTCAAAACACTTCAAATTGCGAAACAGTTCCAACGTCTTGTCTTTTCATACACAACTGAAAGTAAAGAAAGCAAATAACCGGAGAAGAATCAAAAGCAGAGTGAAGGACAAGAATCAGAAAAAGAAATGAGGAAACTTACTTGTGATCATGGACAACTTCAGAACAATCGGACTCAGAGGTTTGTGGTGGAGAAGGAAATGGAAAATGAAGATTAGGGTTTATGTCAATAAGATAGCAAAGTGGCGGGATGGGTGAATTCCAATGCTAAACGGTGTCGTATAAGTGGTGAGTGAGTTGATGTCTCTTTGAAGTTTCAGCAAAAATCATTTTTTATGATCCAAAAATTTCTCCGGTTCGATCGCCGGTCCGGTTTTAAAAACATTGGATTGGGATATTATAAAGGCCGGCAAGGGACGAACCCACCCGTAGCCATGGCAAAAAATTATCGAGAAACCATAGCCCAAAAAGGGAGACACGGCTCAAACGACAATAATGAAACATAGCAAATTAAACGGGATCCATGAACCGAAAGAAGAACCGCCCCCCCAAAACCACCTCTGGAGAGGAACGACGAACCCAAGATTCCGCACATCCACCGGAAGGAACTAGCAACGACACCACGACCAACAAACTTCCGACCCGTCCAAGACAAGGGCCAACCACGACACCGGGAAACCAAAGCATCCACCAACGAAGGTTAACAGAATGGGACCACTTCTATCAACCAACGAGGACTCTACAACGAGAGAATAAGGCATTGTCTCAACAAATTACTGTGGGAGTCGAAACTAGCACAATTAGATTTGTTAGGATTTCGTGAAGAGGTAGAGATTTCTAGGATTAGCTAAGATCACCAAAGTATGAAAAAGTTGTTTGTTATTGCTCTGTAAGATTTTGTGAACAAGATTGCGAATGCCTCTTCAAGGGCTTTTACATCAGGTATATATACTATCTCTAAGTCGGCTAGGCCTCCTAAGTCTTCGCGGAGTCACCTTCCTTGAGTCGGTTAGTTCTCTGGGCCTCGAGACTGGACTGGACTTCGGTTTGAGCCGTCTTCGGTCCGTTGGGTCATTACTTGTGAAGACGTCTTCGGCCTGGAGTGTGCGAAGACGTCCTCTCCCGTAGTGACCGAAGACGTCCTCTCCCATGTAGCGGCGAAGACGTCTTC